GTTGGGGGTGGGGGGTAGGGATAGTTTTAGTAAGAGTTTTTCGGCACTTGCAACACAATAATTAGATCATTTACGTGCCAAAGATTAGAGGTGTGACAAAAGAGAGACAAGCACGGAAAAGAATTACGACGTAGGAACCACAATCCCTAAAATCCAGAAGTATAATTTTGTCTGGGGAAAATCAATATATTTCTTTGCTAACTTACTTTTTAAAATTTCATTTTACTTTATTTTACTTTATTTTATTTTGTTTAATTGTTGTTGGTTTGGTGTTGTTGTTTTTTTGTTTTTTTTGGGGGGGGGGTTGTATAGTTTTAGTTAGAGCTTTTCGGCTCTTGCTACACAAATAAATAATTCAAGTGCCAAAGATTAGAGGCGTGACAAGAGAGAAACATACAAAGAAAAGAAGAACGTAGAAATAAGCGATAAAGGCAATACATGTTTGAGAGAAAAGAATAGGGGAAAACCACACCAAACTATTCCACAACCACCCACATAGATATAATAGTTAATCATAATTTTGAAACCACATTCCCTAAAATCCAGAAGTATAACTTTGTCTGGGCAGACCGTTTTTGTTTATTGTTTTTTAGTTTACCGTTGATTTTGGATGGATGGACTGTGTTTTTTCTGAGCAGACTCCACTCTGTAAAAGTGATGCGATCGAGAAGAAGAAAGTAGCCCGTTGCATTAAAACATTTTTTAAAAATTGTTATTGCCCGTGTTGAGAAAAATGAGATATTGTAGAGGTTTAACCCTATCCGTACATTGTGTTTAACTATCGTATCCATACGACGTGGGGAACTCTGTGACACCACTTAACCCTATCCGTACGTTGTGTTTTACTATCATATCCATATGACGTGGGGAACTCTGTGCCACCGCTTTCCAAAGAGAAAATTTACTTGTTAATCCGATTCGTACACTTCGCATAGAAGTCAGTCAAAATGATTTTTTGAGAAATACTGAAAGTTTCAAAGAGATCTTCGCACTAGAAGCATTCTAAAATCTGAAGAATACATCCCCAGGGGTACAAAATGACCCCAGGGCGTACGGATAGGGTTATTATAGTCTTAATTTTAGTCAGCTAACCTATCTAGCGTCACACAGACACAAAACTGGATTTGTTTTTGTTTTATCTACTTACGAAAAATCGACTGTATAAATACTTTTTTCTCTATTTTTCCTTTTATCTATTTTTTAAAAGAATTTTTCATTTTCTGTTGTTGGGGGC